TTTTTTTTATTTCAATTCACGAGTCTAAACACCTCAACTGCTTCCTGAGAACGATATGGAAGTTCAGACACTGTTTCTCTCATTTCCAACACTTCTAGATTGTATCTCAAATAACTAGAACATGATGAGAGCCCTCACTAATAGCCTACCCTCAATAAAACTTGCCCATCTGTGTAACTAGAGACAGAGACAAAATTAACTGACAATCAAAAGATACACAATATAAGAAGAGTTCAACAGGAATAACATTCACATCAAGCTACAAGGTAACATCTTCTGAAACAGGAAATTTAATTGTGTCCTTGGAAACACTTCTGAAACAGGAAGTCTCAGTTTCCATGAATACATCCATGGAAATGACCTTATGAAACAGGAAGTTAGAATATTTCCATGGAAACGACCTTATGAAACAGGAAGTTCAAACACCTCAATGGAAATTCGTATTGAAACAGGAATGATATTGTGTCCAAGGAAATAATTGGAAAAAAATGGAAAGAAAAACAGGAAGAATAAATGTTCATTATTGAAATCTTAACACAACAATATGACTGTAGAAAAACTTCCTCCTGGTTAAGTAATGGGATACATCTCTCCATTCCTCCAAATAAATCCCTGCTTGCATATTTCCATTTTTCAAGTACAACAAAAACCTTTCCTTATGTTTTTCCATTCTTCTTCTGCAAAAAATATCTATGTTTGTATGTCGCTATTTTTCTGGTACACAAAATGTCATCTACTTGGACATTTCCAAATTCTTGGATAATAAAATTCTCTTCTGGTTTATTTCTATTGTTTTTGTACAACAAAAATCTATGCTTACATATTTCAACCTGATGTTGTCAGTCACAGCATTCATCAATACATTCTACACTTGAGAATAATAATAAGTTATCTTCTAGTACTTGTTTACCAGTCGTCTACTAGTCCTTGCCTACTAGTACTTGTCTACAAGTGCTTGCCTACTAGTACTTGTCTACAAGTGCTTGCCTACTAGTACTTGTCTACTAGTCCTTGCCTACTAGTCCTTGTCTACTAGTCCTTGTCTACAAGTGCTTGCCTACTAGTACTTGTCTACAAGTGCTTGCCTACTAGTACTTGTCTACTAGTCCTTGCCTACTAGTACTTGTCTACAAGTCATTGCCTACTAGTACTTGTCTACAAGTCATTGCCTACTAGTACTTGTCTACAAGTGCTTGCCTACTAGTACTTGTATACTAGTACTTGCCTACTAGCACTTGTCTACAAGTCATTGCCTACTAGTACTTGTCTACAAGTCATTGCCTACTAGTACTTGTCTACAAGTCCTTGCCTACTAGTACTTGTCTACAAGTGCTTGCCTACTAGTACTTGTCTACAAGTGCTTGCCTACTAGTACTTGTCTACTAGTCCTTGCCTACTAGTCCTTGCCAATTAGTCCTTGTCTACTAGTCCTTGCCTACTAGTACTTGTCTACAAGTCATTGCCTACTAGTACTTGTCTACAAGTCATTGCCTACTAGTACTTGTCTACCAGTCCTTGCCTACTAGTACTTGTCTACAAGTCATTGCCTACTAGTACTTGTCTACCAGTCCTTGCCTACTAGTACTTGTCTACAAGTGCTTGCTTGCTAGTACTTGTCTACAAGTCCTTGCCAACTAGTCATTGTCTACTAGTCCTTGCCAACTAGTCCTTGTCTACTAGTCCTTGTCTACAAGTCCTTGCCAACTAGTCATTGTCTACTAGTCCTTGCCTACAAGTCCTTGCCTACAAGTCCTTGCCTACTAGTCCTTGTCTACCAGTCCTTGCCTACCAGTCATTGTCTACAAGTCCTTGTCTACAAGTCCTTGCATACTAGTCCTTGTCTATAAGTCCTTGCCTACTGGTCCTTGTCTACCAGTCATTGCCTACTAGTCCTTGTCTACTAGTACTTGTCTACAAATGCTTGCCTACTAGTCCTTGTCTACAAGTCCTTGCCAACTAGTCATTGTCTACTAGTCCTTGCCAACTAGTCATTGTCTACTAGTCCTTGCCTACAAGTCCTTGCCTACTAGTCCTTGTCTACCAGCATTGCCTACTAGTCCTTGTCTACCAGTCCTTGCCTACTAGTAGTTGTCTACCAGTCCTTGTCTACCAGTCATTGTTACCACACTGTGAGACAACCTGTGGTATTTTGTTAGCATACTGTGAGACAACCTGTAGTACTTTTGTAAGCACACTGCGAGACAACCTGTGGTATTTTGTTAGCATACTGTGAGACAACCTGTGGTATTTTTGTAAGCACACCGCGAGACAACCTGTAGTATTTTTGCTGTCAACACTGAGACAACCTGTGCTATTTTTGTTAGCACATTGTGAGACAACCTGTAGTATTTTGTTAGCATACTGTGAGACCTGTAGTATTTTTGTTGTCTCAACTGTGAGACAACCTGTTGTATTTTTGCTGTCCACACTGTGAGACAACCTGTGGTATTTTTAAGCATACTGTGAGACAACCTGTAGTATTTTTGCTGTCCACACTGTTAGACAACCTGTTGTATTTTGTAAGCATACTGTGAGACAACCTGTAGTATTTTGTTAGCATACTGTGAGACAACCTGTGGTATTTTTGCTCTTCACACTGCGAGACAACTTGTGGTATTTTTGTAAGCACACTGTGAGACAACATGTGGTATTTTGTTAGCATACTGTGAGACAACCTGTAATATTTTTGCTGTCCACACTGTGAGACAACCTGTTGTATTTTGTAAGCACACTGTGAGACAACCTGTTGTATTTTGTTAGCACACTGTGAGACAACCTGTGGTATTTTTGTTAGCATACTGTGAGACAACCTGTAGTATTTTTCTAAGCACACTGTGAGACAACCTGTAGTATTTTTGTAGGCACACTGTGAGACAACCTGTGGTATTTTTGTAAGCACACTGTGAGACAACCTGTGCTATTTTTGTAAGCATACTGTGAGACAACCTGTGGTATTTTTGTTAGCACACTGTGAGACAACCTGTGCTATTGTTGTAAGCATACTGTGAGACAACCTGTGGTATTTTTGAAAGCACACTGTGAGACAACCTGTAGTATTTTTGTTAGCATAGTGTGAGACAACCTGTGCTATTTTTGTAAGCACACTGTGAGACAACCTGTAGTATTTTTGTTAGCATACTGTGAGACAACCTGTGGTATTTTTGCTATCCACATTGTGAGACAACCTGTGGTATTTTTGCTATCCACACTGTGAGACAACTTGTGGTATTTTTGTAGGCACACTGTGAGACAACCTGTGGTATTTTTGTAGGCACACTTTGAGACAACCTGTTGTATTTTTGCTGTACCCACTGTGAGACAACCTGTTGTATTTTGCTGTCCACACTGTGAGACAGCCTGTGGTATTTTGTTTCCCACACTGTGAACAACCTGTAGTATTTTTGATGCAAATATTATGAGACAACTTACAGTAAGTCTTGTATTTTAGTAAGCCACTTTGAGAAACCTGTAGTATGTTTTGCCCACACACTGTGAGGCAACCTGTAGATTTTTTGTAAGCAAGCTGCAAGTCAAACTGTAGTGTTTTTGTAAGCCACTGTGGTACAACCTGCAGTATATTTGCAAGTACCCTGTAAGTCAAGCGGTTTTATATTTTGTATTTTTTAATGTATTTTTTGAAAGCCACTGTAGGACAACTGCAGTATTTTTGTAAGCACACTGTGAGTAAAGATGAGTGTTGTATTTTGTAAGCCACTATAAGACAACCTGCAGTATTTTTGTAAGCACACTGTGAGTAAAGATGAGTGTTGTATTTTGTAAGCCACTGTGAGACAACCTGCAGTATTTTTGTAAGCACACTGTGAGTAAAGATGAGTGTTGTATTTTGTAAGCCACTATGAGACAACCTGCAGTATTTTTGTAAGCACACTGTGAGTAAAGATGAGTGTTGCATTTTGTAAGCCACTATGAGACAACCAGCAGTATTTTTGTAAGCACACTGTGAGTAAAGATGAGTGTTGCATTTTGTAAGCCACTATGAGACAACCTGCAGTATTTCTGTAAGCACACTGTGAGTAAAGATGAGTGTTGTATTTTGTAAGCCACTATGAGACAACCTGCAGTATTTTTGTAAGCACACTGTGAGTAAAGATGAGTGTTGCATTTTGTAAGCCACTATGAGACAACCTGCAGTATTTCTGTAAGCACACTGTGAGTAAAGATGAGTGTTGTATTTTGTAAGCCACTATGAGACAACCAGCTCAACCAACTTGTTGTGTTTTTTCAAGTACCTTATTAGTCAAGCTGTTTTATATTTTGTTTTGTTTAATTTTTTTTTTTTTTTTTGCAAGCAAACTGCAATCAAGTTGAAGTATTTCTATATTTTTGTAAGCCAAAATGAGATAACTTGAAGCATTTTTGCAAGCACCTTGTTAATCATATATTTTTATATTTTGTATTGCTTAAATTTTTTTTTTTTTTGTAATCAAACAGCCAGTCAAGTTGTAGTACTTTTGTAAGCCACTCTGAGACAACCTGTAGTATTTTTGCAAGCAACTTGTGAGTGAAGCTGTTTTATATTTTGTTCTTGTTTAATGCATATTTTTTTTTTTGTAAGCCGCTGTTTGAAAACGTGTAGCATTTTTTATAAGATGAAATTTTAGTGTCTGTTCCACTGTGGTGTAACAACAGTGACCAAATCCTTCCTGTGATGGAGGCGTGCCGTGAGCCAGACGGCTACCCGCCTAACCTACACATCTTGTGCCGTACCAATTTGCAATTATAATGTTGTAGCAGCCAGTGGTCTCTAACTAATGTAATATTTACGGTGGAATGTTTTGGTACCGTGACACGGGTGCTTCTCCGGGTGGCCATCCTTCACCCGTGACCGTCACGCTTCGCCGACCACCCAACGTGCCTTCCGACATGCCTGTTGTGGCGAGCACCTGTCGCTCAGCATCAGCAGCAACCCTCATTAGCATTCTTTTGGTAAATTACATTGAACACATAGAATTTTAGTTGTTTAAAACGACGTCACTTACCTTACAAGCGGTAACTCCATGTGTAGCTAACTCCACGCGGGCAAAGTTCCCCTTACCCAAGGTAAGGCCGTCCATCACATAACGCCCGATACATTGAATTTTCTTCCCCATTTCTTTCTTAGATGACAGATTTCTTCCATTTCCAATAATTTCTTTCCATTGAGTCTAACATTCTTACTTTCCACGACCCACCGTAACTATCCATTTTGGCGAAATAGTTGGACATTTTCGCTGGATTTGAAAACAATAATGGCGGGCATCATCATTGAAACGCCCCCTTTCTTAGAACGGCATCAAATCCATAGTCAGATATCAAAAAAAGGAAGGAGAATATTATTTACAAAGTATTTCACTGGATAAAATGTTTATATATACACGGCGATAATACAGTGGATCTCACATAGCATTATGTAAACAACATCAACTACCCTTCATACGAAATTCCAATACACTGATGATACCGTCACGACAAAAGCTTGTTGAATTTCACGTGTGTGAGACTATTTTGGGGGGCGAGGCGCTTCCTGTGGCTGTTTGCCCCTCCAACATGTTACCGTTGTATCCTGGAACACGGCGGCTATCTGCCCCAAACGTCACGACGACTTCCAAACGTCAGTCGGCCTCACAGCCATTGCTACCACCGACATGATCTTCTCGGAGAACTTCGCGATACCCAAGTCACATGACTCAGTAATTCATGAAAATTTCATCCGCATTTAATATGATAATGCAACGAGTGGTACCGGGAAACCATGACAACCAATCATCTATCTAATAACACGTTCGATTTTCCGAGAGTAACGTTTGCATATTGCATATATTTGCTGCAGTGGCTTGTGTTTGTGAACCAAGAGAGACGACTGCCGTTCTGGAGCGAGGAAGCTGATCAATCGAGCGATAATTACACAATGACATAAACAAAAACAATAACAGGGACGGCCATGCTTTCCCGACTTGCCCGTGGGAAGGGCAGGACGTCACAGGAAAATCAATGACGAAGATGGTTGAGAGAGCGCCGTGCAGTGTCGGTCGCTGTTGATAACTTCTCCATGATAAATATTCTTTGTAGGGTCCATTGTTTTATTCAGACATATATTCCATCGTGATGTTTGGCTTCAGCACGCCATGATATAGGCTACTGTATACTTGGTCGTGTACTAATACAGCGGCTGCCATATATAGCATATGTACTTACACGTGTGCTCTGGTACTAATACACTAGCTTTCTCAAACTGTACTAATACACTAGCTTTCTCAAACTGTACTAATACACTACCCCACACTGTACTAATACACTACCTACCTCAACCTACCTCACACTGTGCTAATACACTACCTACCTCACACTGTACTAATACACTACCTACCTCACACTGTACTAATACACTACCTACCTCACACTGTACTAATACACTACCTACCTCACACTGTACTAATACACTACCTACCTCACACTGTACTAATACACTACCTACCTCACACTGTACTAATACACTACCTACCTCACACTGTACTAATACACTACCTACCTCACACTGTACTAATACACTACCTACCTCACACTGTACTAATACACTACCTACCTCACACTGTACTAATACACTACCCATCTCACACTGTACTAATACACTACCTACCTCACATTGTACTAATACACTACCCCACACTGTACTAATACACTACCTACCTCAACCTACCTCACACTGTGCTAATACACTACCTACCTCACACTGTACTAATACACTACCTACCTCACACCTACCCTCACACAATGTACTGTAATACACTACCTACTGTACTAATACACTACCTACCTCACACTGTACTAATACACTACCTACCTCACACTGTACTAATACACTACCTACCTCACACTGTACTAATACACTACCTACCTCACACTGTACTAATACACTACCTACCTCACACTGTACTAATACACTACCTACCTCACACTGTACTAATACACTACCTACCTCACACTGTACTAATACACTACCTACCTCACATTGTACTAATACACTACCTACCTCACACTGTGCTAATACACTACCTACCTCAAACTGTACTAATACACTACCTACCTCACTGTACTAATACACTACCTACCTCACACTGTACTAATACACTACCTACCTCACACTGTACTAATACACTACCTACCTCACACTGTACTAATACACTACCTACCTACACTACCTACCTCACACTGTACTAATACACTACCTACCTCACACTGTACTAATACACTACCCCACACTGTACTAATACACTACCTACCTCAAACTGTACTAATACACTACCCCACACTGTACTAATACACTACCTACCTCACACTGTACTAATACACTACCTACCTCACACTGTACTAATACACTACCTACCTCACACTGTACTAATACACTACCTACCTCACACTGTACTAATACACTACCTACCTCACACTGTACTAATACACTACCTACCTCACACTGTACTAATACACTACCCCACACTGTACTAATACACTACCTACCTCACACTGTACTAATACACTACCTACCTCACACTGTACTAATACACTACCTACCTCACACTGTACTAATACACTACCTACCTCACACTGTACTAATACACTACCTACCTCACACTGTACTAATACACTATCTACCTCCCACTGTACTAATACACTACCTACCTCACACTGTACTAATACACTACCTACCTCACACTGTACTAATACACTACCTACCTCACACTGTACTAATACACTACCTACCTCACACTGTACTAATACACTACCTACCTCACACTGTACTAATACACTACCTACCTCACACTGTACTAATACACTACCTTCCTCACACTCTACTAATACACTACCTCACACTGTACTAATACACTACCTATCTCACACTGTACTAATACACTACCTACCTCACACTGTACTAATACACTACCTACCTCACACTGTACTAATACACTACCTACCTCACACTGTACTAATACACTACCTACCTCACATTGTACTAATACACTACCTACCTCACACTGTACTAATAAACTACCTACACTGTACTAATACACTACCTACCACACTGTACACACTGTACTAATACTAATACACTACCCCACACTGTACTAATACACTACCTACCTCAAACTGTACTAATACACTACCTACCTCACACTGTACTAATACACTACCCCACACTGTATTAATACACTATCTACCTCACACTGTACTAATACACTACCTACCCCACACTGTACTAATACACTACCTACCTCACTGTACTAATACACTACCCCACACTGTACTAATACACTACCTACCTCAAACTGTACTAATACACTACCTACCTCACACTGTCACACTGTACTAATACACTACTACCTCACACTGTACTAATACACTCTACCTCACACTGTACTAATACACTACTGTACTAATACCCTACCTCACACTGTACTAATACACTATCTCCCTCCCACTGTACTAATACACTACCTCACACTGTACTAATACACTACCTACCTCACACTGTACTAATACACTACCTACCTCACACTGTACTAATACACTACCTACCTCACACTGTACTAATACACTACCTACCTCACACTGTACTAATACACTACCTACCTCACACTGTACTAATACACTACCTACCTCACACTGTACTAATACACTACCTACCTCACACTGTACTAATACACTACCTACCTCACACTACACTACCTACCTCACACTGTACTACACTACCTACCTCACACTGTACTAATACACTACCTACCTCACACTGTACTAATACACTACCTACCTCACACTGTTCTAATACACTACCTACCTCACACTGTACTAATACTACTCAACCTACCTCACACTGTACTAATACACTCTACCTCACACTGTACTAATACACCTCACACCTACCTCACACTGTACTAATACACTACCTACCTCACACTGTACTAATACACTACCTACCTCACACTGTACTAATACACTACCTCACACCTCAATACATTATCTCACACTGTACTAACCTCACACTGTACTAATACACTACCTACCTCACACTGTACTAATACACTACCTCACACTGTACTCACACTGTACTAATACACTACCTCCCTCACACTGTACTAATACACTATCACACCTACCCACTGTACTAATACACTACCTCACCTCACACTGTACTAATACACTACCTACACTGTACTAATACCTACCTCACACTGTACTAATACACTACCTACCTCACACTGTACTAATACACTACCTACCTCACACTGTACTAATACACTACCTACCTCACACTGTACTAATACACTACCTACCTCACATTGTACTAATACACTACCTTCCTCTCACTGTACCAATACATTATCTCACACTGTACTAATACACTACCTACCTCACACTGTACTAATACACTACCTACCTCACACTGTACTAATACACTACCTACCTCACACTGTACTAATACACTACCTACCTCACACTGTACTAATACACTACCTACCTCACACTGTACTAATACACTACCTACCTCACACTGTACTAATACACTACCTACCTCAAACTGTACTAATACACTATCTACCTCACACTGTACTAATACACTACCTACCCCACACTGTACTAATACACTACCTACCTCACACTGTACTAATACACTACCTACCTCACACTGTACTAATACACTACCTACCTCACACTGTACTAATACACTACCTACCTCACACTGTACTAATACACTACCTACCTCACACTGTACTAATACACTACCTACCTCAAACTGTACTAATACACTACCTACCTCACACTGTACTAATACACTACCTACCTCACACTGTACTAATACACTACCTACCCCACACTGTACTAATACACTACCTACCTCAAACTGTACTAATACACTACCTACCTCACACTGTACTAATACACTACCTACCTCACACTGTACTAAGTATAAGAATTCCCTTATAAAAAGCCGTTTTGTTTTTGAAGATGACCTTGATGGGCAGGTTTAACTGTTTATTGTTCTGCCTGTGGTTAAATGGTACTTGTATTATAGGTGTGCTTTATTTGTGTATTCTTTGAAGACCATCCGAGATTTATC